CGAAGCATATAATTGTTTTATGGAGCTCTGTGTCTGGTGTTGACGGCGGGAGTGGTTGGGCGTACACGACCAGAAGTCTGGTCGGCGGGGGTGGTGCAGGTCAGTTAAAGGGCAGGTGAACTGCGGAGTGTTGAGGCAGGCCAGGGGGGGGGTGAAGGGGGGGTGGTGCTGGTGTGTTGGCACACGTGGCAGGCCAGGGGGTGGGGGAAGGGGGTAGTGGTACACGTGGCACCCCTGGCGGTTAAGGGGGGGGGAAGGGGGTAGTGGTACACGTGGCACCCCTGGCGGTTAAGGGGGGGGAAGGGGGTAGTGGTACACGTGGCACCCCTGGCGGTTAAGGGGGTGGTAGGGGGGATAAAGATTAAAGGGGTCGACGATGTGTGAGGGAATGTGAGGGGGGGGGGAGGGTAATGGAGAAAGAGGGGGGGGGAGAGAGAGAAGGGAGAATTTCTCAGTCCCCGGATGTCTGCCCTTCCTGCTGTTGACATTTTATCCCCTGTTGCCTCCCCCTCCCCCCCTCCCCCCATCACCATACATTGTCCTCTGTCCTCCTCCTCCTTCCTCCTACCTGTGTAGACTGCAGGTAGATCCTCATTTTGTATCACCGCACTCACCATCACATTAAGGTGAGTCACTCACCACCACAAGGTGAGTCACTCACCATCACAAGGTGAGTCACTCTCACCATCACAAGGTGAGTCACTCTCACCATCACAAGTTAAGAACAATCATTATCACTATGGTAAGTTATCTTGTTCTTCGTGAGGTTATGTTCTTTAGAATAATCAATTCAGTGATGAAATTCTCCTAATCGTCAATTTGGCTCCACTGTGTTTCTAATAGTTTCTCAATTAGCGCAGCTGGAAGGTGATTTTTGTCTTGTATTTTACTATTCCTGACGTTACAATGTCTTGGCTGTGTTTTGCTCGTTCGTAAATCACCGACTGATTTGCTCAACCAACTTCAAGGAAAACGGAGGCGATAGTGTGAACAAGGACTCGAACGCCAACCCAAAACTAAGCCACTAACTCACTCTGCGGGTCCTGCTGAGCTGAGCTGGTAGGTGCCCAGAGGCTGTGAATATATTGAGAGAGAACTATCAGGGGGAAAAGCGCCAAGCCATTATGACTATATAGCACTGGGAAGGGGTCAGGATAAGGATTTGGGATGGGACGGGGGGGAAGGAATGGTGCCCAACCTCTTGGACGGTCGGGGATTGAACGCCGACCTGCATGAAGCGAGACTTGGCTAAGTAGACTATGGTTTAGGTATGAGGGCAGGTTACCCCACCTCGTAGTGGCCTCGTAGCCTGGTGGATAGCGCGCAGGACTCGTAATTCTGTGGCGCGGGTTCGATTCCCGCACGAGGCAGAAACAAATGGGCAAAGTTTCTTTCACCCTGAATGCCCCTGTTACCTAGCAGTAAAATAGGTACCTGGGAGTTAGTCAGCTGTCACGGGCTGCTTCCTGGGGGCGGAGGCCTGGTTGAGGACCGGGTCGCCGGGACACTAAAGCCCCGAAATCATCTCAAGATAACCCCACACCTATGCAAATTAATTCGCTTTGTCTACTCAAATATTAAGGAGAAACACGTCATATTGAGAGAGCCACTTAAGACAAGAGACGAGGAAGATTTTGTGGGCATGATAGCTGGGTGGACAGCGCTTTGGATTCGTACTCCTGAGGTCCCGGGTTTGATCCCGGTGGAGGCGGAGACAAATGGGAAAAATGTTTCATTCACCCTGATGCCCCCTGTTACCTAGAAGTAAATAGGTACCTGGGAGTTGGACAGCTGCTACGGGCTGCTTCCTGGGGGTATGTAACAAAAAGGAGGCCTGGGGACGCTAAGCCCCGAAATCATCTCAAGATAACCTCAAGATAGGACACTTGTGTTATCGTATTATCTCTCTCCCGTGTATCTGTCTCTCTTTCTCTTCCTTAACCAGACTACCTTATATAATGAACCACCTCGGGTCCTAACACGGTGGCCGCAATAAACAGTGCTCCGTTGTAGACACATTATCAAAACAATTTGCTTTCAAACAATCTATTATTGAAAACTTGTCATTGTAGGCAGGAGGCCGCTATATAGAGGATAATTCAGTTGACTAAATATATCTTACGAGGTCCACCATTGATGATACATGAAGGCCACTAGTGTCAAGTGGTCGTTATAAGCAGGTTGCCGCTGCATGAAGGTTTACAATGGTGTTTCTACACTAGTGACCGCCTGTGAGAGGTCGCCCGCTTTACCCAAACGGTCGCTATAGCACGTGGCTCACAGGGGGTAACGCCCTCAGTGTCTCGCCACGCCCTCAGTGCCTCGCCACGCCCTCAGTGCCTCGCCACGCCCTCAGTGTCTCGCCACGCCCTCAGTGTCTCGCCACGCCCTCAGTGCCTCGCCACGCCCTCAGTGTCTCACCACACCCTCAGTGCCTCGCCTTATACGTCTTCCGCACTACCGCCCAACCACTTGGGCTGGACGGTAGAGCGACGGTCTCGCTTCATGCAGGTCGGCGTTCAATCCCCCGACCGTCCAAGTGGTTGGGGACCATTCCATCCCCTCCGTCCTATCCTTAATCCTTATCCTCATCCTTCCCAAGTGCAATATGGTCGTAATGGCTTAGTACTTTCTTCTGATAATCGCCTTACCTTATTATTCTCAATACAATTATAATTTATTATTTACCCATATGCAGGCGATGAGTCACAATAACGTGACTGAAGTATGTTGACCAGACCATACACTAGAAGTTGAAGGGACGACGACGTTTCGGTCCGTCCTGGACCATTCTCAAGTCGATTGAGAATGGTCCAGGACGGACTAAAACGTCGTCGTCCCTTCAACTTCTAGTGTGTTGTCTGGTCAACATATTATTTACCCAATAATAATGACTCCAAGAATGTTGTTTTTCGAGTGAACTGGATAGATAATCCATAAATCTGCCCAACCCAGTTAATCCAATAATGTGACTGACGTTAACATACAGCTGATGGTTGAGCTAGACCACGTAGGGAGGTTAATTTATCCTGGCTATGACTATCTAATCAGCTTACTAAATTCCCCAGGGATACGCGGGCGTTATCTTGCCCCCTTATCTCTTGCTATCTCACGTTATCACCCTTATCGTGCGTGTGTTAACAGATAACAGAGAAACAAACAAGCCAGATAAAGTGGAGCTGTTATCAACCACATGTGTGTAATGTTCTAAGTACAGACTGTGTATGTGCACGCACACACACACACACACACACACACACACACACACACACACACACACACACACACACACACACACACACACACACACACACACACACACACACACACACACACACACACACACACACACACACACACACACACACACACACACACACACACACACACACACACACACACACACACACACACACACACACACACACACACACACACACACACACACACACACACACACACACACACACACACACACACACACACACACACACACACACACACACACACACACACCTGTATCATTGACAAGTGTAATAGTGAAAATACTGGGAAAAATCATAAAAACTAAATGGGTAGAACACCTGGAGAGAAATTATATATCAGACAGACAGTATGGTTTTCGATCTGGAAGATCCTGTGTATCGAATTTACTCAGTTTCTATGATCGAGCCACAGATATATTACAGGAAAGAGATGAAAGAGTTGAGTTGACTGCATCTATCTGGACCTAAAAAAGGCTTTCGACAGAGTTCCACATAAGAGGTTGTTCTGGAAACTGGAAAATATTGGAGGGGGTGACAGGTAAGCTTCTAACATGGATGAAAAATTTTCTGACTGATAGAAAAATGAGGGCAGTGATCAGAGGCAATGTATCGGACTGGAGAAATGTCACAAGTGGAGTACCACAGGGTTCAGTTCTTGCACCAGTGATGTTTATTGTCTACATAAATGATCTACCAGTTGGTATACAGAATTATATGAACATGTTTGCTGATGATGCTAAGATAATAGGAAGGATAAGAAACTTAGATGATTGTCATGCCCTTCAAGAAGACCTGGACAAAATAAGTATATGGAGCACAACTTGGGAAATGGAATTTAATGTTAATAAATGTCATGTTATGAAATGTGGAATAGGAGAACATAGACCCCACACAACCTATATTTTATGTGAGAAATCTTTATGGTTCTAGATAGAAAACTATCACCTGAGGACCACATAAAGAACGTTGTGCGAGGAGCCTATGCCACGCTTTCTAACTTCAGAATTGCTTTTAAATACATGGATGGCGATATACTAAAGACATTGTTCACGATTTTTGTTAGACCAAAGCTAGAATATGCAGCGGTTGTGTGGTGCCCATATCTTAAGGAGCACATCAACAAACTGGAAAAGGTGCAAAGACATGCTACTAAGTGGCTCTCAGAACTGAAGGGCAAGAGCTACGAGGAGAGAGGTTAGAGGCATTAAATATGCCAAAACTAGAAGACAGAAGAAAGAGGTGATATGATCACTACGTACAAAATAGTAACAGGAATTTATAAAATCGATAAGGAAGATTTCCTGAGACCTGGAACTTCAAGAACAAGAGGTCATAGATTTAAACTAGCTAAACACAGATGCCGAAGAAGAAAATTCACTTTCGCAAAACAGAGTGGTAGACGGTTGGAACAAGTTAGGGGAGAAGGTGGTGGAGGCCAAGACCGTCAGTAGTTTCATAACGTAATATGACAAAGAGTGCTGGGAAGACGGGACACTACGAGCGTAGCTCTCATCCTGTAATTACACTTAGGTAATTACACACACACACACAGAGCAAGCACATGTTAAGGAGGAAGCATGGAGAGTTTCCACATGCGGGCTGCTCCAAGCAACAGCCTGATGAACCAAGCTCTCACAAGTCAAACCTATGGCCCCCGGGCCGGACTTGGGGAGTATGGTTCTGTCCGGTTCTGTCCAACCAATCACTGTCTGGTTGGACAGAAACAGGCAGCACATGGAGGCAGAAAGTATAATCAAAACAGCATTGATGAACCAGTATGAGGATAGTATCGTACAAGTGAAGAACCAGTATGAGGATAGTATCGTACAAGTGAAGAACCAGTATGAGGATAGTATCGTACAAGTGATGAACCAGTATGAGGACAGTATCGTACAAGTTATGAACCAGTATGAGGATAGTATCGTACAAGTGATGAACCAGTATGAGGATAGTATCGTACAAGTTATGAACCAGTATGAGGGCGGTATCGTACAAGTGATGAACCAGTATGAGGATAGTATCGTACAAGTGAAGAACCAGTATGAGGATAGTATCGTACAAGTGATGAACCAGTATGAGGATAGTATCGTACAAGTTATGAACCAGTATGAGGGCGGTATCGTACAAGTGATGAACCAGTATGAGGATAGTATCGTACAAGTGATGAACCAGTATGAGGATAGTATCGTACAAGTGATGAACCAGTATGAGGATAGTATCGTACAAGTGATGAACCAGTATGAGGATAGTATCGTACAAGTGATGAACCAGTATGAGGATAGTATCGTACAAGTTATGAACCAGTATGAGGGCGGTATCGTACAAGTGATGAACCAGTATGAGGACGGTATCGTACAAGTTATGAACCAGTATGAGGGCGGTATCGAACAAGTGATGAACCAGTATGAGGACGGTATCGTACAAGTTATGAACCAGTATGAGGACGGTATCGTACAAGTGATGAACCAGTATGAGGACGGTATCGTACAAGTTATGAACCAGTATGAGGATAGTATCGTACAAGTTATGAACCAGTATGAGGATAGTATCGTACAAGTTATGAACCAGTATGAGGATAGTATCATACAAGTTATGAACCAGTATGAGGATAGTATCGTACAAGTGATGAACCAGTATGAGGACGGTATCGTACAAGTTATGAACCAGTATGAGGATAGTATCGTACAAGTGATGAACCAGTATGAGGATAGTATCGTACAAGTGATGAACCAGTATGAGGATAGTATCGTACAAGTTATGAACCAGTATGAGGATAGTATCGTACAAGTGATGAACCAGTATGAGGATAGTATCGTACAAGTTATGAACCAGTATGAGGATGGTATCGTACAAGTGATGAACCAGTATGAGGATAGTATCGTACAAGTTATGAACCAGTATGAGGATGGTATCGTACAAGTTATGAACCAGTATGAGGATAGTATCGTACAAGTTATGAACCAGTATGAGGATGGTATCGTACAAGTGATGAACCAGTATGAGACGGTATCGTACAAGCAATGAACCAGTATGAGGACGGTATCGCACAAGCAATGAACCAGTATGAGGATGGTATCGTACAAGTTATGAACCAGTATGAGGATAGTATCGTACAAGTTATGAACCAGTATGAGGATAGTATCGTACAAGTGATGAACCAGTATGAGGACGGTACCGTACAAGTTATGAACCAGTATGAGGATGGCATATCGTACAAAGCAGATAACCAGTCTTATAACTACTCACAACCTTATAACCTCTCATAATATAGTTATGGCTACTTATAACCAGCCTAATAACTACTCACGCTCTACAAAGAACGTCGCATTTCGATCGTATGCGTTACATAGGGCTAGAAATTGTCGTAACAGAAAATGGAAGCGGCTCGCGAAAGTGATGTACTGTCCCGTTTTCTGTTTTGGGTCCTCTGGTTGGTTAGGATAAGGGCACTTTAGTACGACAGTTTCTTGACGTTGGGGAACCTTAGGAGGAGGAGGTGGTTGAACAAGTGATCTGGAAAAAAGTCTCTAAGCTGTAACCTGAGTCTCTAAGATGTAGCCTGAGTCTCTAAGATGTAGCCTGAGTCTCTAAGATGTAGCCTGAGTCTCTAAGATGTAGCCTGAGTCTCTAAGATGTAGCCTGAGTCTCTAAGATGTAGCATGAGTCTCTAAGATGTAGCCTGAGTCTCTAAGATGTAGCCTGAGTCTCTAAGATGTAGCCTGAGTCTCTAAGATGTAACCTGAGTCTCTAAGATGTAGCCTGAGTCTGTAAGATGTAGCCTGAGTCTCTTAAGATGTAGGTTGATCTCCCAACAGATCTAAGACCATTGACACAACAGATCTAATACTTCTTCCTACGCTTCTCCAGTTGATTGACAGTTGAGAGGCGGGACCAAAGAGCCAGAGCTCAACCAGCTGAGCACGGATGACTGGAGGAACTGAATGAGATTAACGCCTCAATGTGACCACGGTGCGGCGGGGCAGTATAGTACTATACAACTTGTGAAGAGGGGCAGCAAGTAGGAGGACTTCTGGCTGGGTGATTGATGGCATGATACAAGTGGTGTCACAAGGAGTCGGGTTACTGACAACATGCGGCATCCCGTCAGGTTGAGATCTCTTACCTGAGCTGTGTGTTGAGACTCGGCCCCGGACCAGGCGCACCTGTGGAGGGGACATGTGTTACATCATCTCTTTGACGTGATGTGTATTACAAATAATAATACAATTCAGGCATGTCAGACATGCGGCCCTTTGCAAGCATACACACCTGCGGCCCACACAAAGGTTACTGAAGTTTTTATCATTTAAACTGTCACCTTTTAATAGATTTTAAAAGTACAAAGGAAATAGGAATGCAGCTGTGAGGCAAGCGAGTTAACACTTCTAAAAATCGACATGACGTTAACTGTTAAGCTGGCCTAAATTTCGTTTCAGTTTTTTTTAACCGGTGATTTTATTTCTAATTGTAGTTTTTTTAGTATTTTTCAGATTCCACATCATCTTTAAATGGCCAATGCTCCTCCAGCTAAGAGAAAAATCTAGAGGAGCAACAAAATACTAAAAATAATAGTCGCAAATAAATGATAATTTTTGAACTATTATAATTTTTGTACAATGTTGCTGTTGCATAAAGTCTGTGTTGCCGTTGGCAATTTACTTTTTCTGTTGTTAAACTACTTCATTACTTTACATGAATGTGGCCAGCCGGTGAACCCTTTGTGTGGCCAGTGTGTGTTACTTTACATGAATGTGGCCAGCCGGTGAACCCTTTGTGTGGCCAGTGTGTGTTACTTTACATGAATGTGGCCAGCCGGTGAACCCTTTGTGTGGCCAGTGTGTGTTACTTTACATGAATGTGGCCAGCCGGTGAACCCTTTGTGTGGCCAGTGTGTGTTACTTTACATGAATGTGGCCAGCCGGTGAACCCTTTGTGTGGCCAGTGTGTGTTACTTTACATGAATGTGGCCAGCCGGTGAACCCTTTGTGTGGCCAGTGTGTGTTACTTTACATGAATGTGGCCAGCCGGTGAACCCTTTGTGTGGCCAGTGTGTGTTACTTTACATGAATGTGGCCAGCCGGTGAACCCTTTGTGTGGCCAGTGTGTGTTACTTTACATGAATGTGGCCAGCCGGTGAACCCTTTGTGTGGCCAGTGTGTGTTACTTTACATGAATGTGGCCAGCCGGTGAACCCTTTGTGTGGCCAGTGTGTGTTTCTAAGTTTACGTAATAACAATATTCCGCGATGTACAGACCGCATATTAACTATTAATAATAATAAGCATTTCGAGTATTTTGTTTCAATGCTCAGAATTATAATTCTGTAATGTGAGGCGTCTGAGTCGCAGACAGGACTTCTCGCTGCTCCAGTTCATGTTGTAAACAATTATAATTCTGTAATGTGAGGCGTCTGAGTCACAGACAGGACTTCTCGCTGCTCCAGTTCATGTTGTAAACAATTATAATTCTGTAATGTGAGGCGTCTGAGTCGCAGACAGGACTTCTCGCTGCTCCAGTTCATGTTGTAAACAATTATAAACAGAAAATATACCTGTGTATTTATGAGTAAATATGATTGACAGTTAATCGATTCATATACACACTTTAGAACAAGTACATCTGTTCGTTGCACTTGTCCTTCAAGTGTACAAGTTTCCTCAAACATTGTAACTGACAACACGTATTATACATGTACTTTCCTAGTTGTACTAACCTAGTTGTGCTTGCGGGGGTTGAGCTTTGGCTCTTTGGTCCTGCCTCTCAACTGTCCATCAACTGGTGTACAGGTTCCTGACCCTACTGGGCTCTATCATATCTACACTTGAAACTGTGTATGGAGTCAGCCTCCACCACATCACTGCCTAATGCATTCCATCCGTTAACTACTCTGACACTGAAAAAGTTCTTTCTAACGTCTCTGTGGCTCATGTGGGTACTCAGCCTCCACCTGTGTCCCCTTGTTCGCGTCCCACGTGACATGTGTTTCAGTACAAGTGTCTACAAGTTTCAGTAGAGTTACAAGTCTGAGTACTATACGTGTATGTTTGAGGTTAAGTACATAATAGTTGAAAGGTAGTTTAGTTACAACGGTACTTACACAAGTACTAGAGGTTTACGGGAGAGGTGAAGGTTTAAGTAAAGCTGTAGTGGGGACTGATGCACTGTAGGTCAACTGTAGTACAGGAAAGGTCACGTGAGGTCAGACCAAGGAAGCACCGGAGATTGGTGTCCACATCAACCTCACCCACCACTCACGGTTGAGCTTCTCGTAATTGGCTCTCATACTATACTCGACCACCACTCACGGCTCGGCTCCTTGTTGACGTCACAACATTCTCCTCCAATCATTGGCTCATGCAATCCTGACCTACCACTCACGTCTGAACTACTTGCTGACGTCATAACGTTTCCATCCAATCATTTCTCTTCCGTATCGCTTCCATCTTACTTCGGACATGTCAATAAATCCTCAGTTATTCCCGCCCCCCCCCCTCCGAGCGCTGAGCAGAGGTCGACGAGGACCAGGGGAGTGTTGTTAGTGGGAGGGGGGGGTTGTTGTGGGTGACACCTTGGAGAGGGTGAATGGTTGTAGGGGGTGACACCTTGGAGGGGGTGTGGTTGTAGTGGGTGACACCTAGGAGGGGGTGATGGTTGTAGGGGGTGACACCTTGGAGGGGGTGATGGTTGTAGGGGGTGACACCTTGGAGGGGGAGTGGTTGTAGGGGGAATGGTTGTAGGGGGTGACACCTTGGAGGGGGTGATGGTTGTAGGGGGTGACACCTTGGAGGGGGAGTGGTTGTAGGGGGTGACACCTTGGAGGTGACAAGCATCAGTGAGAGATGTTTTCCAATCCTGTTTTCTGGCCCTGCATCTCTGTTTTGGTATGAACGTTTTGTGTGTGTGTGTGTGTGTGTGTGTGTGTGTGTGTGTGTGTGTGTGTGTGTGTGTGTGTGTGTGTGTGTGTGTGTGTGTGTGTGTGTGTGTGTGTGTGTGTGTGTGTGTGTGTGTGTGTGTGTGTGTGTGTGTGTGTGCCAATAACACCCTGTGCAACCTTCTGTGTATTTTAAGCGCCCTTACAATGCACAGAACAGTATAGTGTTGCTCTCCCTGATAAACCGCGTTCTCTCACTGGTGCGGAGTTTGGTTAAGGCCTTGGATCTGACCAGTAATTGGATGGGTGATCACACGGACAACCTAGCTGTTTCCTCCAGAGCCACAATTTAATTTCTTTCTTTCTTTATTATGCACCCCATACCCATCCCGTGGGGGGTGGTGTTAAGGATTACAGAGGCACATAATCGGTTCAGAAACTGAACCGTCTAGTTCGTTTAATTAAGCAAATAAAAATTTTTGACGCTAGTTACAAAATTGTTAATGTTATATATATATATGTACACATACTCATACATGCATGTGCATATATATATACGTATACAAATATACATACACATATATTTAATCACCTACACAAATACATCAATAATCTTTTGTAACACAAGTGCTTCAACAAGAGGCTCACAACAGTCACTATACAAGGCACTTTACATCTATGGTGAGTCACACAGTTACTAGTCTTGCTTCACACCCACCCAACTGGGCGGCAGCTTTACAGTCATGTGCTCCACACCCACCCAACTGGGCGGCAGCTTTACAGTCATGTGCTCCACCCACCCAACTGGGCGGCAGCTTTACAGTCATGTGCTCCACCCACCCAACTGGGCGGCAGCTTTACAGTCATGTGCTCCACACCCACCCAACTGGGCGGCAGCTTTACAGTCATGTGCTCTACACCCACCCAACTGGGCGGCAGCTGTACAGTCATGTGCTCCACACCCACCCAACTGGGCGGCAGCTTTACAGTCATGTGCTCCACACCCACCCAACTGGGCGGCAGCTTTACAGTCATGTGCTCTACACCCACCCAACTGGGCGGCAGTTTTACAGTCATGTGCTCCACACCCACCCAACTGAGCGGCAGCTTTACAGTCATGTGCTCTACACCCACCCAACTGGGCGGCAGCTGT